AATCCAATATATTTCAAGTCACTGAAGACAACGTTCGCAATGAGACAATCGTTGGGTATAATCGGCGGTCGACCTAATCATGCCTTATATTTCATCGGTTGTGTGGCCAATGAGTTGGTCTTCTTAGACCCGCACACGACTCAGTCATTCGTCGACTTAGAGGAGACCGACGCCGACGACTCGACCTATCACTGCCATCGGGCCTCACGTATGGACATCGGTCTACTCGACCCGTCCATAGCGTTGTGTTTCTATTGCGACACCGAAGAAGAGTTTGACAATTGGTGTCAACTGACGTACAAAGCGCTCATTTTAGGCGAAAAGCAATCACTGTTTGAATTAACGAAAGAAAGACCCCCTCATTGGCCCCAATATGACGAACAGTGCGACTTCATTGTTCAAAACGGACCGAAAGATCCCTTAACTGAATTCCCGGCCGACAAAGACTCGGATTCCGAAGAAGAGTTTGAAATATTGGGATAACAACTGATCCCATCTTTTTATATGTCGTTTTTCGAGACCAATATTTGTTAAATAAAGTTGTTTTTTAAATTATACGAATCATGTCTTTATAAGACCTGTAAATTGCAATCAAATCTTAAATATTTTTAAACTACCGTCTCATTCGATATTTTACTTATTATTTAATGAAAAAATGAATATATTTTTGTTTGAAATTTGATTTAATGAATTAAATTTTAGTTAATTTCATATTTATTTCAATGTTTGTTCCCTTTTGTTAATTTTTATTTAATTTTTAAAATTTCTTTATATTGTAAAAATACAGATTTAATAATATATTCAAAATATATATCAAAATTCAAAATATATAAGTGTTTATATGATTTGTTAATATAAAACAACTATTGATATTCATTATAGAATTATATTTTTCAAACAAATTAAATGAATGATTAAAGATTTGCATTGAATTTATTAAAAATCAATAACGGTATAAAGTTCAAATAAATCGATTATAAATGTAACCCTAATCCTAATTATAGATATAAGAATATTGTAGTGCATAAGTTTGGATAAATGCTGAGTAAGTTATAACTTATAAGGTGTGGTAAATTAGCCATTCTTCTTATGGATGTACGCATTCCTCGCGAACCCAACGGTCTGAGTGGTGGTAGTCTTGATAAACATGTCCTCAAGACTTGGCGCCGGTGTTAGTCGTTGTTTGGCATTACGCGTGTCGATGATGTCGTCCACATCCTTGAACTCCTTCTCCAGCTCTGTCTCGTCGTCCAACTCGTCGACGTGTTCGTAGTCGTCAGCCTTCTCTGTCACTGAGCTCTCAGTGGTCTTCTCCTTATAGGCGTTGTAATCGGGAAACACATTCTCCCACTGGAGCTCATTGTCCAGGAAATCGGCTTTTGGTTTGTATAGACATACCGTATAGACACCACCTTTGGGTCCATTCAGATTCTGCACCTGAGCACAGGCCACCGTTTTGGTCGACCCCCACACCAGTTGCACGAAGTGGCGAATCGTGCCATTACTTGATTGCCGATAATCCCAGTCATAGTTATTGATTTCTCGATACCACTTACCGATCGAGTCGTTACAATTGATTGACGGCAAGCCATTCAAGTGCTCGGATGACGTCCAGTGGATATTCTCTCCGAACTCCCAATCCTTATGCCGAAAGAATCGGAACCCTTTTTGTGCCATTTCTAGGGCTCTCTTCTGCGCCGCTTGGAATATCTGTGGCGATAATCACAAGATATGATTGAATATAACTTTACGAATAAAATGGTAACAAAAAGTATATAAATATTTTACGCCATCGTTGATCATCAATCGGTCGACTGAATGTATTTTCCTGATTCTGTTGTGCTCTTTTATGCACTCCTGAACCCACTCTCCATTCGTAAGCTCTTTGTATTTAAGTTTACGAGTGCTTAGAATTTGGTCACATTTCTTGACAGATCTGACATTATCCTCGATGTCCGATATGTTTCGCCCGATTG